ATGATAATGGCATGTCATACCCAACATAACATGACCGAAATTCACGAACTTTATAATTAAACGCCTCTCTCATTTACTCAAATCAAAATGGCTGCTTTAGACAAAGACTATGACAAAATGTTCTGAACAAAACCAACATGTAATAAAAGTAACAACCTCGTAAATGTTAACCATGGCTGTGCTTCAAGGCCTTTCTTACAGCATGCTCTCGTTCTGACAGACACATTCCACCACCAAGTGGAATCCACCATACTCCACAGTGCTACACTCTGCACAATTTAACCTTTCCTCGAGTCTCGTACTGTAATTAAGTTATCCATTTTAACTGATAAGCAAAGACAAAAAAGCAATCAATACCTATTATTCCTGAACACTGTTCTAAATTCAAATGTTTGCTACCTGCCAGTTACAGTACACATTTCGCGCTAATGGCGCTAAAACATTTTTATTCGCAGAACTCTTTGGTATTGGGAACAATACACTGGTTTCCAACCGCATAGCAGTATGCCAATGACCTCATGAAAATAACTACAACATGGCAGTCGGCATGCAGCTGTAATATTTATTGTTCTACTGCATTACCGTCAAATAATACCTACCAATTACCGAACGTCATACTATCATATATCTATCATACTTACATTCGCTGTAGAAGGATTTTGAATTTCGAACTCTTATCGGCCATGATTTTGTCCATAAACAAATTTTGTTTCATACGCATTTTTGAACAGATACTGCGGAGATATTCAGACCTAGATTTTACTGACGCCGTCTTTCTTATTCGATCACAAACGGTATTCAAGCAACGTTTCCCGTATCCCGAATCCCGTATCACATATAAAAGATTCTTGCACCTGAGACGAGCCGGTGTAACTCGGCTTACTGAGCTTTGGGAGCTAAGAAAGATTTCATACCACTTTTACTGCTGAACAATTTTATTGGTTTTAAGAATTCCCTTTGAGGAGAATCGCATTCGTTTCATTTGATCATTAACTTAAGTCCGATATATAAATGCCATTTAACTATTATTGTATTTTTAAGTTCTTTGATATAATATTATTTAACTTTTTATAGTTAACGTTAATTTAATCCGCAAATGTTGAATTATTGGAATGAGAGGTTTATCGATAGATATCGTCACTTTAAAATTAATTTGTTTTTTTTTTTTTGGGGGGTTTGGTCACATTTTGTGCACCTAAAGAGAGAGGCTGGTGTCAAAACGGTAAAACGTAATATCATTTTAAAGCCTATGTGGGTACCCACGTCTGCAACTTTAACCATTTCCTACAAATCTTACAAAATCAATAATTACAAATCAAATCAAATCATTTACTGATCCCGGAGGATAAGGTGGAGTATACGGTGGTAGCGTGCCCTGCTTGCTGGCAGAGCAGCGAGTCCCCAGGGAAATGATCAGCGGCAACGGCCTGTCGCATCCGGTTTTAATCGAGGTCATGGTGCGGAACGAGAAGAAGTGGGAAACCGTTCCATCTTCCTGCGAAGCAGCAATGCTCGCAAATAAGGAGGCGGACGGCGTGTGGGTTTCATCCTCCTGCCGCCCCAGCTTCCGCAGCGAGATATACTCCACCGTAAGCTCGGGCTGAAAGCCTGATAATTAATGATCAAACCAATGACGTATTATATATAGACACGTCATGAACCAACATCGCGGCGCTTAAAAACGGCGAAAATACTAGATAACTACTTCTACGAGTAAAGAAAGGGAAAGAAAATATGACATCGTATAGTGGAATGCCTTTGCTAGAGGGAGATAAATATACGTCTTCAGTTATGACGTCGGCGTCACGTGACTATACCTTCATGCGCCGGCCGCCATAAGATGGCGGGCGCCGGCGTCGAAAAAAATAAAATAAAAATAGGTTGTTTGGTGAACTTACGCATGAAATGACACATTTTTGTCTTTAACTTTTGGAGTATAATTTGTACATCGTCTGAACACACACGACGACATGCTTTCTTTATGTTTCGCACAGGTTTACACACGATATAAATTAAAAACAAACGTAGCGTCGCGCGGCAGGTTGGTGCGTAACTAAGCGCGATGTGGTCAATTGCCTTCATTTCATGTTGTCATTTTAGAGCGCGGACAACGTATCTATAGTTTTATACATCATTGGATCAAACCTTCTCCTTTAGCAAAGGTATTCGCTCAGCCTTAGGCACTCATAGGCTGATATCATGAAAAGTCTGAGAATTCCTCTTTCCATACTCAGAGCGGGAAGCGGGAGCGGGAAAATTGTTTTGAATCGTGTGTCAAAATAGAAGCTCACTGCTTCTCTGAGACTCTTGCTCTGAGACCGCGCAGAAGTTAGTCTTTACTAAATAGTATTATAAAGAGTTAAAATTTGTAAGTTTGTAAGTTTGTTTGTATGTAGGGGGTAATCTTTGGAACCGCTGGTCGGATTGCCAAAATTCTTCCACTCATAGGTAGCTACAATGTTCCGGAGTGCTATAGGCTATAAAGCACGCTACGATCAAATGGAATCAAATGGTGAAACCGCGGGAGAGTAGCTAGTATTACATAAAGATTGCATTCATTCCTAGAACGTCAGATTATGTAAATGTATGTAGCAAAACGCAATCTCAAAATAACAAAATATTCTTATTTCGTAAGCACTTCTAGTGCTGAATATGTATTTATTCCAGCTATGTCATCATTCCCCTCCGAGTTAAAGGAGATAGTCCTCGCTATAAGAGAGGTGTTTGGCTTAAAAAGATCATTTTTTATCCGAAAGAACAACTGCCCAGTCTCTTTTTAATAAGTGGTCCTTTAGTCGGTTTTACATTCTACATTACCAGCAAGATACAAAAATTCCACAGAACAAAATGCATTCTCATAATGTTATTTTTTTTTAAGTAGGTAATACACTAGCAAACGCGCATATGTACACATTACCTGATGGTAAGCAATTGGCGCCAACCATGGACACTCGCAACAACAGAGGAGTTTATAACCCGCATTATGGGGAGGGCAAGGATTAGGCCTCCGGTAACCTCACTCACACGGCGAAACACAACGCTGTGATTGCTTCACGCCGGTTTTCTGTAAGGCCGTGGTATCACCCATTTGTGTCGAAGTATGGCACTCCCACATTTTTACTGATTTTTATAAGCTCTTCCAGGGCTGCATATTTCAGCTAGGGTTGTGGGGCAAGCGGCGTAGAGCAGGAGAAGGAACGGGGGAATTTCTATAAGAGTCTGACACACCCTCTCGCCTCACGCTGGGCGAGAAAAAAAATTTCATAATTTTCCCTCACACAAAAAGGCTGCATATTTATTTACTCCATTATTTTAGTTGCCAGTATTGAATTAAATAGTACCGTATCTAAATAGGTGCGATATATCATTTTTATTGACAGTGCCGTGTGGTCTCTGGTCACGAATACTAATCTAGTGGTGCATTACGGAACTGAATTGCTAGTGGCTTTATATATTGATTCGGTTTGTTTTATGTATCTTACTTCTAAACCTACCTTTCCTATTGAAATGGTTTTACGTAATCTTATTTATTCTACGTTTAAATTCAATTTAATCCTACTAATATGATCAATGTGAAAGTTTGTGATAATGAATGGATGTACTTATACCTATTAGTCAGTTTCTCTCACAAAAACTAACCACGCAGGCGAAGGCGCGTGCGAAACCTGATTAATATCATGGATTTAGGTAGTAGATTCTGCCAGCGTTTTCACATTCTGTACTGGGATGAAAAACCTCAATACTCAATTATTTATTGCATGCCACAATATGTTTCTTAAATGGTTGATTCTAAATTATGAGATCATCATGGACCCTGTCGGGCACAGCAAAGTGAAAGTACGAGAGAGGAAGAGGATAAAAAAATCGGCATAAAACAACTACAGTACTGCCGACGTATCTTGGCGAGTTTGAAATTAGGCGATTGTCTGCGCAATGGATCTCTTAGGAACAAAATTGTGTACTGCGCAGCTAACTTCAGACTTGCCAAGATACGTTGGCGGTATTGTATGTTTTCCCATATGAATGAGGTTACCTACAGATGGTTTCTGGTGTTGCTGTTGTCCAAACCTCTTCTTCGTCTACCTTCATTTTGATTGAATGGATGTTGTGTGGTTAAGTCTCCATTTTCTAAGTGATTACAAAGCAAGGTACTTACTATTTGGTCTGTTAAATTATTTCTTTCTATTGTTGTTGAAAGAGCCGTGAATGAGTCGAATATTCTTAGTGACTAACATTACTAGGTTAATATTCTTAGAGAGTCGAATATTCTTAGTAAGTAACAATTACAAACATTACTAAAAATCATAGGTACCTGCGTTTTTTTTTGGGCCCCGCACTTTACCCGTAATCTGACTGACGACTGAGCATCGGCCTTAGTAAGCCCCATATAGGTATAGTGGGGCCTTGCTGGTCTGCATGCTGATAAGCAAAAGTCCCTATTACTTTGTACTGACGAATTGATTGACGGACTGTTATTGTATTTTAATTTTACAAAAACAATTGTATATGGTTTGGGTGGAAATATTTTTTTTCTTGACTTTGCCTTGTGAACAACTATCTAAAAAAAGATACGTATTAAGTTTTTACCGACATCTTCTCTAACTCGACAAATAATAACAATGAGTATGTAACCAAAGAGTATGTAACCACTACGTTTAAATAATAATTATGTTTATAATAAATCATAAACTGCTTTATTTTTTATAAATTTTATTTACTGAACCTGGATACTTCCACATTTGGGTGATAAATAACAATCATCTTTAAATCAATATGTATGTACCACAAGCCGAAGCAAACATTTATATTACTGTATAATATTAGCAATTATACATTTAAAAAACTTTAGAAAAAGTTTCAGCGATGTCTAAAAACATATGTCTAAGAAATTAAATTATCTTAAATTATTTTAATATTTTCATTCAACAAAATACTAAAACTACCTTTCTACCAAATTTTTACTACCAATTCACGATAAATATATTTTATATGTAGTAACACCAATGACAGGCAGCTTTCCGTCAGCGTAGTATTTTCTACAAAATATCTAAAATAAAGAGTGATTATTATTGTATTTCTAAAGTTTATACTTAGTGTATTTTATAAACAAACTATATTTAATATGTTTAGTTATTGTGCAAACTGTTAGCGTGTGAATAGAGATAAATGTGAATGTTCGGACTCCATTCTACAATGAAAGATGTCGTACTATTGGTATGTGTACAGCCGAACAAAACGAAAGTGACTAGTTGACCGTGTGTTAAACGGTGATTACTGAAACACTCGACTGGAATAAAAATGGCGCAGACGATCAGGCGAGCGATTGAGGGTCGATACCCATCCTGTTACATACCTAGTAGGATAAAAGAAAGAAGAGCAAAAGCCAGGGCATTAAGGTAAATAAATATTGTTTTGTAGGGCATTGGCACTACGCAGGCACGGCAGGTGCCTTGTTCTTTTTTTGTACGTGTTATTTTTCATTTGTTTTTGCTTGGCAAGCTGGGAACTTGTAACTTTTCGTAGTTTTAAAATGGATAATGAATGCTTGACATTGTAGCAAGAAACCTTGTTTTGCATCTAGCTGTTAATTATTTCTCAATTGTCGTTCGTGATCATTCACTGGCGTAGTGTTATGTGATTAGTTCTGTGAATATAATATGAACATGATAGTAAAGAACTGATTAGATAAAGGTACAATGACATTAATATTTTGTGTGTTATTTACTTAGTGTTTTATTAGTACTTAAAATTTTTTTTTTCAACAGATTTTATTGTTGACCTACTTATTACTGTTTACAGGTTAGAACAGCAGAGGAAACCTGATAAGCCTGAGGACTTTGTGTGTTATTCAGATAGTGACAGTGAAGAGGAGACTCCGGCACAACAACACAAAATATTATCAACATCATATAACTTTGTGGATTATGTACGATCTCGGGAGATACAGTCCAATGAGGTTTGTTATTGTTTTGAGTTTATTGTCAATACAAACACAAGAAATGATTGTTTGTGTAGTAAAATCTGTATGGTATTGATTTATAAATATTTAGACTAACAAACATGGCTCCTATATTGTCTGTGGTGTTTTATAGATGCTACTTTGTTTCCTTAATAGTAATGTACATTATTAAACTTTGCCTGAAGCGAAAATTGAACTATATATTATGCTGGCAATTTCAAAACTGATTGTACAATATGGAAGTATTAACGAAGCCTACAATAACATACAAAAAAAATAAACAAATATTAAATGTGTAGAATGAGCTCTTTATTTACTAAAACAAAGATTAAGTAAGTTTTAAAACCAAGTCCTTCCTCAATGTATGTTTACATAGCTCTGCAACTACAGAAATGAAATATTTGCATCACAATTGCTACTATCTTATCTGGTTGCATTTCGCTCAGATGCCCTTGACTTTATGTGTATTTTTATCAAGAACCATTTACTAGATTACGCCTTAGTACATTTTAGGGTTACAATACAAAAAACTTAACACTACTAAAACATATTTATGGAAAATAACACTGGTTTTGAGTAATAAGAGGCCCTTTAACTAAAAATAAAAAAAAAGTGTGGGAGAGCCATGCTTCGGCACGAATGGGTCGGCTGAACCGGAGTGATCAGTGAAGTGACCTCACTGAAAACCGGCGTGAAATAACCACAGCGTTGTGTTTCGCCGTGTGAGTGAGGTTACCGGAGACCCAATCCCTCCTAAATCCCTAAATCTCCAAATCCCTAATCCCTAAAAGGACGGCAACGCACTCGTAACTCCTCCGTTGCGAGTGTCCATGGGCGGCGCTGATTGCTTACCATCAGGTAATCCGACTGCTCGTTGGCCGACCTATTAAATAAAAAGAAAAAAAAACGACTTTTTAGGTATTTACGATCTTGAAAAAATTATTAATCAAACCCCAAGTGAATGCTGGCATTTGCACACCTATTGTTCTTCTTTTTTTCCCTTAATGGCAACTGAGTTATTGTTCTTCTATTGTGTTTCTAATTTCCACATTTGAAAGGTTTAATCAAAAGAGAAACTGCCAAAAATAACCTACCTATCAAAATTTTGAAACAACTGGCAAATAACTAACAGTTTCAGTAGTCAGTTTCCTTCCTTCATTCAATATTTCCTGTTCAGTATTAATATTAATAAATGTATGTTCAGAGTATTTTATAAGGTAAACTAATTTGTTGTTCATCACTATAAACAAATAGACTGAAAGGGGAAATAGGTCCTGTTACTAGTTCACGTGTTTGTATCTGAGTAATACCTGGTATTATATCATTATTGCCATACTCCTAGCACAATGCTGGACTCTATTATTGAATGAAAATATTTAAAAATCAAAACACCATATATTCTTTTAGCCTGACTTGGTAATCTGATCCTTATGCATGAATTATACATGTGGGTTGGTGCTTATAAGTGTAGGAGTGCCATGCTTTGGCTACGAACGAATGGGTCGGTTCGACCGGAGTGATACCATGGCCTCACAGAAAACCGGCTTGATACAACCACAGCATTGTTTCGGCGTGTGAGGTTACCAGAGACCCAATCCTTCCCCTCCTCCAATCCCTAAATCTCGAAATTTCTAATCCCCACGGTCGGTCAGCAACACACTCTTAACTCCTCTGTTGTTGTGGGTTTTCATGGGCGGCGCTGATAGCTTACCATCAGGTAATCCTACCAGCTCGTTTGCCGACCTATCACATAAAAAAACATTTTGTAATAACCTAACATTGTCACATGTAAATCAAAAGGTCGTGGTAACATATTTATGAAGATAATTTTCCTTCCAGCCTCGCTCAGTGGAGCCGTCGTACGCGACGAGACACATGCTCACCCACGACATGTTCCGGGAGACCCCCATCAACCTTGGGAACATGAACAAGGTGTTCTGCTCACAGTGGCTCTCTGATAGACAAGTTGTCTTCGGCACTAAATGTAATAAGGTAAATAATCTTATATTATATACATAAGACAGTATTAAGGTCGGTATAAAGTGGTGTGTGCGATCAATAAACTATTATTCAAAGTTCCGGTGGTTTGTTTGTGTATTTGTATGACTGTAAACAGGAGAAAATTTTAGTTTGTGGCGACGTCTTTAACTAAAGAAAACATATTGTACCAACATCTAAAATTGCTAGTTTGTCTGTCTGTAATGCTGGGGCCACACTGAAGGGAAATGTCAATAATTATTGCGATAATTGATGATATTAAACAATGAAAAATGTACATTAAATCTTTTTGTTTAGTGATCAAGTTACACCTACGATTAACGTCCATTATCGCGATAATGAATGGCATATCCCGTTAGTGTGGCCCAAACATTAGTAGAATAAACTCGAAAGCCTTTGTAAACTTGTTTGACTATTATTGTTGGTGTAATTCCTGAGGTAGTATTACTGTATGTTTAAAATCCTACTTATACCTATTATAAATGTGAAAATTTGGAATTACGGATGTGTATAGTATGTTACGCATACTAATAAATAAAACTGAATGGATCAAAATAAAATTTAACAAAGGGATAGATATAGTCTGGCATAACACCAGTACCCGACCCGACCATAGGTCTAGGCCGCGGGCATAAACTATTTTACTATAATTTTAATGAGAAAATTATAATACAATAGTTATTAACCTCTTACAATTAAGCAAGAGGCAGTATAGTAGTAGCTATCCTCCTTACGCCCCAAAGGAGGTGACACTGGGCATCGGGGATCGCGCGCAAATAGTTTTCACCGTAAATCTGAATATATATAATAATACATATAATATGTTACAGAAATATATTCTTGATATTAAATAGTAATTAGTTTAAACCTATGTCAAAGGTTACCTACTTATGGAAGTACTTAAATATTTATCTTAGAAATGGTCTTATCTCAATGATAGTGCTGTTTTAACTTTTATTTATTATGGTAACGTACTGTGAAGGTGACCTCATAGACTGACCACTGTCTAGAATTTTGTGTAATTTTAGGTATTTCTTATAACTATTTTAATAAAAAAATCATTCATAGTAGTAGGTATATTATAAGGCACTAGCTACAGTACAGCCGATTTATCTTGGCGAGTCTGAAGTTAGCCGTTTATCTGCGCAATGGATCTTTTAGGAACAAAATTGTGTACTGCGCAGCTACTCGGCTAACTTCAGACTCGCCAAGATACAACTGCCGTATAGTACTCTCACGCGGTTTCACCCGCTGCTCCTACAGATCCTAACGTGATGTTTTATAGCCTATAGCCTTCTTCGATAAAAGGACTAACAAACACAAAACGAATTGTTCAATTCGAGCCATAAGTTCCGGAGATTAGGGCGTTCAAAAAAAGAAAACTTCAGCTTCATAATATTTTAATATTATAAAGCTAATCTCCGCGAAGTTCGCTTCGCTGCGTACTTTGGATAGAATGCTCAATAAGTATTTAGTGGTTCATCAATTCATCTATTCGACTTTTCGCTCAGCGAAACATGTTCGCCACCGCGGCGAATAAACGTAGTGGTTACATACTCTTTGCGTCCGAATTGCCCAATCGTCGACAGTTACTTGTTTTATGTTAGTCATGCAAAATATAAAGTCAGCCAGCACCTTCGTCCGCGATACTAGTGTAATAACTAACCTCTATGTTATTCCGGACTATAATATAACATTTTCATATTTATTTCAATTGTTCCTAACGAGCCTTCTTAGTTATTAATTGAAAAAACTTGTGAAAGAGCAGGATGGCCTAACACAAGCATAATAAGTTTTGCTTAAAAGAACATTCCAGCTTGTCAAGTCTGCTTTAAATTTGAAGTTATTTATACTTTAATATTTAGTTATTATTTATATTATTTATTAGGTTCGTTGTAATTTTCATCAAAATCCATTCAGTATGTTTTACGGGAAAGCTAAAGAAACATCCCTCCGTACAGACTTTCGCGTTTATAATATTTAAGTAGCGTTAAAAATGTTTTATGTTCAATAAGGTTTTTCTCTCAGTCAAAATTCAATGTTCGTGGACAGTACTATCTCACAGTAATTGTACCCCACACGTAGACTTACTCCTGTTTTGTGGGTGCATTAACAAACATACAATTTCACATACACATGACACCCAGACCCGGAACAACAATTTGTAGATCACACAAAGAGTTGTTCCGTACGGGAACCGAAACTGCAACACATTTGCACAGCCACCTCGCCAACCCTGCAGTCAACGATTTTTTTTCATACATTGCTTACACATTTCTTTTGTAAATAATGCAGTGACAGTACAATAGTCGTAATAATACCTATAGAGACAGTATAGCGACAAATAAGATTTATTTATAATAAAGGGATAAATTAACATTTCATTTTCTTTCCAGCTAATGGTCTACGATGTCCGTCGCCGGTCCCTGGACAGCATCCCCACGTTAAGGCCTCGGGCGCCCTGGGCCGGCGCAGACCAACAGACTGGCATACACGCACTACAGATAAACCCTTCTAGGTAAATTATACTAAATAATATTATTATTTACTTCGCGTACGTATAAAAGTTTAACAGCGTTTAAAACAATAGCTCAAGTATAATTTATAGCTTATTTAGCACTCAGGAAATTTGTAGCTATCAGCTATCAGCTAATTTTGGAAATCTGACAAACTGTTGGATTAAATGCCTCATATAAACTTACAGATTGTACCTCTTTATAATATTAGTATAGAATCGGTGAAATATCGGGCCGCTCCCTGTTTCGCACGGCTGTTTAACTATCTAAGTATTTTTTTTCTTACTTGCCACAGTCGCGAGGCTGGAGCCTCTTGGCATATTTACTATTTCCCATTTCGCCCCGTGTTTTTCTAGAATTTATTTTCATAAGAAACCTCTCGGCAATAACAAACAACATAAAGCTGGACTCGAGAGTAAATTTGCATTACCGGTTACGGGAGGCGCAATCCTCACTCTCCCACATTCCCAGTCCTCGCTTTTCCTTACCCCATTAATATTCTTTCACTCTCTGTATCCCCATTCCTCACTCTCTACCATCCCGAATCCGCACTCCCCCATCTCCAATCATCACATCCTCAATCCTCACTCTCCCCATCTCCAATCCTCACTTTCCCCCATTCCCATTCCTCACTTTCCCCCATTCCCATTACTCACTCTCACCCATTCCCATTCCCATTCCTCACTCTCACCCATTCCCAGTCTTCACTCTACCCCATTCCCATTTCTCACTCTCTCTATCCCCATCCCGAATCCTCACTCTCCCCCATTCCCATTCCTCACTCTCACCCATTCCCAGCCTTCACTCTACCCCATTCCCATTTCACACTCTATCCCCATTCCTCACTCTCTGTATCACCATTCCTCACTCTCTCCCATCCCGAATCCTCATTCTCCCCCATCTCCAATCATCACTCGCCCCACAACCCCAATCCTCAATCAGAATCGTCAACTTCTCCACCCAAATCCTCTCTCTCTATCCTTCATCCGCAGTCCTCACTCTCCCCTATCCCGAATCTTCACTCTCCCCCATCGCCAATCTTTACTCTCCACCATCCCCAATCTACACTCTCTCCCAGCCCCAATCATCTCTCCCCCCATACCCAATCTCAACTCTCCCCCATCCCTAATCTTAACTCTCCCAAGCCCTAATCCTGACTGCCCCATCTCCACTCCTCTGTACTCCATCCCCAATCCTCACTCACCCCCATCCCAAATCCTTAAATTCCTAACCCCCAAAAGGCCCGCAATGCATCAAAGCGGCGCCGATTGCGTACCATCAGGTGACGCATTGACTCGTTTGCCGAGTTATCGCATAAAAAATGGCAAAATTTTCCTTGCAGGACGTTACTAGCGACGGGTGCCCGCAACTCGTGTGAGCTAGCGATATACAGTCTGCCTACACTAGACCCTGTCTGTGTGGGCGAGGCGCATAAAGACTGGGTAAGCTTATTTTTATTTATGAATAGAGACAGGCAGGGGGTGAAACCAGGCGAGATTTCGCCTGGTTTCACTCCCTGCCTGGCTCTTACAGAACGTAGCTTGATATTGTAAAGCCTTCAATAGCCTTCCTCTATAATGGACGTATTTGGATTGTGGCCGTTGCTTTGTATTTACTTTTCGTTCCCATCCAAATGCTCATGTTTTTATATAATTATGTAAGTACGTCCACAACCGAGACTTTATTACTTAAATGTATTTGTGTACAGATCCTGGACATGTGTTGGCTGGACGACGAATTCTTGGTGACCGGATCACGCGACTCCAAGCTCGCACTGTGGCGCGCGCCCGGCGCCGCGCCCCGCCACCACTCGCACCACTACGTCGCTCCACTCGCCGTCAAGGAGTGTCGCTCCGGTATACTTACATACATACTAGCGCCGCGCCCCGCCACCACTCGCACCACTACGTCGCTCCACTCGCCGTCAAGGAGTGTCGCTCCGGTATACTTACATACATACTAGCGCCGCGCCCCGCCACCACTCGCACCACTACGTCGCTCCACTCGCCGTCAAGGAGTGTCGCTCCGGTATACTTACATACATACTAGCGCCGCGCCCCGCCACCACTCGCACCACTACGTCGCTCCACTCGCCGTCAAGGAGTGTCGCTCCGGTATACTTACATACATACTAGCGCCGCGCCCCGCCACCACTCGCACCACTACGTCGCTCCACTCGCCGTCAAGGAGTGTCGCTCCGGTATACTTACATACATACTAGCGCCGCGCCCCGCCACCACTCGCACCACTACGTCGCTCCACTCGCCGTCAAGGAGTGTCGCTCCGGTATACTTACATACATACTAGCGCCGCGCCCCGCCACCACTCGCACCACTACGTCGCTCCACTCGCCGTCAAGGAGTGTCGCTCCGGTATACTTACATACATACTAGCGCCGCGCCCCGCCACCACTCGCACCACTACGTCGCTCCACTCGCCGTCAAGGAGTGTCGCTCCGGTATACTTACATACATACTAGCGCCGCGCCCCGCCACCACTCGCACCACTACGTCGCTCCACTCGCCGTCAAGGAGTGTCGCTCCGGTATACTTACATACATACTAGCGCCGCGCCCCGCCACCACTCGCACCACTACGTCGCTCCACTCGCCGTCAAGGAGTGTCGCTCCGGTATACTTACATACATACTAGCGCCGCGCCCCGCCACCACTCGCACCACTACGTCGCTCCACTCGCCGTCAAGGAGTGTCGCTCCGGTATACTTACATACATACTAGCGCCGCGCCCCGCCACCACTCGCACCACTACGTCGCTCCACTCGCCGTCAAGGAGTGTCGCTCCGGTATACTTACATACATACTAGCGCCGCGCCCCGCCACCACTCGCACCACTACGTCGCTCCACTCGCCGTCAAGGAGTGTCGCTCCGGTATACTTACATACATACTAGCGCCGCGCCCCGCCACCACTCGCACCACTACGTCGCTCCACTCGCCGTCAAGGAGTGTCGCTCCGGTATACTTACATACATACTAGCGCCGCGCCCCGCCACCACTCGCACCACTACGTCGCTCCACTCGCCGTCAAGGAGTGTCGCTCCGGTATACTTACATACATACTAGCGCCGCGCCCCGCCACCACTCGCACCACTACGTCGCTCCACTCGCCGTCAAGGAGTGTCGCTCCGGTATACTTACATACATACTAGCGCCGCGCCCCGCCACCACTCGCACCACTACGTCGCTCCACTCGCCGTCAAGGAGTGTCGCTCCGGTATACTTACATACATACTAGCGCCGCGCCCCGCCACCACTCGCACCACTACGTCGCTCCACTCGCCGTCAAGGAGTGTCGCTCCGGTATACTTACATACATACTAGCGCCGCGCCCCGCCACCACTCGCACCACTACGTCGCTCCACTCGCCGTCAAGGAGTGTCGCTCCGGTATACTTACATACATACTAGCGCCGCGCCCCGCCACCACTCGCACCACTACGTCGCTCCACTCGCCGTCAAGGAGTGTCGCTCCGGTATACTTACATACATACTAGCGCCGCGCCCCGCCACCACTCGCACCACTACGTCGCTCCACTCGCCGTCAAGGAGTGTCGCTCCGGTATACTTACATACATACTAGCGCCGCGCCCCGCCACCACTCGCACCACTACGTCGCTCCACTCGCCGTCAAGGAGTGTCGCTCCGGTATAGTTACATACATACTAGCGCCGCGCCCCGCCACCACTCGCACCACTACGTCGCTCCACTCGCCGTCAAGGAGTGTCGCTCCGGTATACTTACATACATACTAGCGCCGCGCCCCGCCACCACTCGCACCACTACGTCGCTCCACTCGCCGTCAAGGAGTGTCGCTCCGGTATACTTACATACATACTAGCGCCGCGCCCCGCCACCACTCGCACCACTACGTCGCTCCACTCGCCGTCAAGGAGTGTCGCTCCGGTATACTTACATACATACTAGCGCCGCGCCCCGCCACCACTCGCACCACTACGTCGCTCCACTCGCCGTCAAGGAGTGTCGCTCCGGTATACTTACATACATACTAGCGCCGCGCCCCGCCACCACTCGCACCACTACGTCGCTCCACTCGCCGTCAAGGAGTGTCGCTCCGGTATACTTACATACATACTAGCGCCGCGCCCCGCCACCACTCGCACCACTACGTCGCTCCACTCGCCGTCAAGGAGTGTCGCTCCGGTATACTTACATACATACTAGCGCCGCGCCCCGCCACCACTCGCACCACTACGTCGCTCCACTCGCCGTCAAGGAGTGTCGCTCCGGTATACTTACATACATACTAGCGCCGCGCCCCGCCACCACTCGCACCACTACGTCGCTCCACTCGCCGTCAAGGAGTGTCGCTCCGGTATACTTACATACATACTAGCGCCGCGCCCCGCCACCACTCGCACCACTACGTCGCTCCACTCGCCGTCAAGGAGTGTCGCTCCGGTATACTTACATACATACTAGCGCCGCGCCCCGCCACCACTCGCACCACTACGTCGCTCCACTCGCCGTCAAGGAGTGTCGCTCCGGTATACTTACATACATACTAGCGCCGCGCCCCGCCACCACTCGCACCACTACGTCGCTCCACTCGCCGTCAAGGAGTGTCGCTCCGGTATACTTACATACATACTAGCGCCGCGCCCCGCCACCACTCGCACCACTACGTCGCTCCACTCGCCGTCAAGGAGTGTCGCTCCGGTATACTTACATACATACTAGCGCCGCGCCCCGCCACCACTCGCACCACTACGTCGCTCCACTCGCCGTCAAGGAGTGTCGCTCCGGTATAGTTACATACATACTAGCGCCGCGCCCCGCCACCACTCGCACCACTACGTCGCTCCACTCGCCGTCAAGGAGTGTCGCTCCGGTATACTTACATACATACTAGCGCCGCGCCCCGCCACCACTCGCACCACTACGTCGCTCCACTCGCCGTCAAGGAGTGTCGCTCCGGTATACTTACATACATACTAGCGCCGCGCCCCGCCACCACTCGCACCACTACGTCGCTCCACTCGCCGTCAAGGAGTGTCGCTCCGGTATACTTACATACATACTAGCGCCGCGCCCCGCCACCACTCGCACCACTACGTCGCTCCACTCGCCGTCAAGGAGTGTCGCTCCGGTATACTTACATACATACTAGCGCCGCGCCCCGCCACCACTCGCACCACTACGTCGCTCCACTCGCCGTCAAGGAGTGTCGCTCCGGTATACTTACATACATACTAGCGCCGCGCCCCGCCACCACTCGCACCACTACGTCGCTCCACTCGCCGTCAAGGAGTGTCGCTCCGGTATACTTACATACATACTAGCGCCGCGCCCCGCCACCACTCGCACCACTACGTCGCTCCACTCGCCGTCAAGGAGTGTCGCTCCGGTATACTTACATACATACTAGCGCCGCGCCCCGCCACCACTCGCACCACTACGTCGCTCCACTCGCCGTCAAGGAGTGTCGCTCCGGTATACTTACATACATACTAGCGCCGCGCCCCGCCACCACTCGCACCACTACGTCGCTCCACTCGCCGTCAAGGAGTGTCGCTCCGGTATACTTACATACATACTAGCGCCGCGCCCCGCCACCACTCGCACCACTACGTCGCTCCACTCGCCGTCAAGGAGTGTCGCTCCGGTATACTTACATACATACTAGCGCCGCGCCCCGCCACCACTCGCACCACTACGTCGCTCCACTCGCAGTCAAGGAGTGTCGCTCCGGTATACTTACATACATACTAGCGCCGCGCCCCGCCACCACTCGCACCACTACGTCGCTCCACTCGCCGTCAAGGAGTGTCGCTCCGGTATACTTACATACATACTAGCGCCGCGCCCCGCCACCACTCGCACCACTACGTCGCTCCACTCGCCGTCAAGGAGTGTCGCTCCGGTATACTTACATACATACTAGCGCCGCGCCCCGCCACCACTCGCACCACTACGTCGCTCCACTCGCCGTCAAGGAGTGTCGCTCCGGTATACTTACATACATACTAGCGCCGCGCCCCGCCACCACTCGCACCACTACGTCGCTCCACTCGCCGTCAAGGAGTGTCGCTCCGGTATACTTACATACATACTAGCGCCGCGCCCCGCCACCACTCGCACCACTACGTCGCTCCACTCGCCGTCAAGGAGTGTCGCTCCGGTATACTTACATACATACTAGCGCCGCGCCCCGCCACCACTCGCACCACTACGTCGCTCCACTCGCAGTCAAGGAGTGTCGCTCCGGTATACTTACATACATACTAGCGCCGCGCCCCGCCACCACTCGCACCACTACGTCGCTCCACTCGCCGTCAAGGAGTGTCGCTCCGGTATACTTACATACATACTAGCGCCGCGCCCCGCCACCACTCGCACCACTACGTCGCTCCACTCGCCGTCAAGGAGTGTCGCTCCGGTATACTTACATACATACTAGCGCCGCGCCCCGCCACCACTCGCACCACTACGTCGCTCCACTCGCCGTCAAGGAGTGTCGCTCCGGTATACTTACATACATACTAGCGCCGCGCCCCGCCACCACTCGCACCACTACGTCGCTCCACTCGCCGTCAAGGAGTGTCGCTCCGGTATACTTACATACATACTAGCGCCGCGCCCCGCCACCACTCGCACCACTACGTCGCTCCACTCGCCGTCAAGGAGTGTCGCTCCGGTATACTTACATACATACTAGCGCCGCGCCCCGCCACCACTCGCACCACTACGTCGCTCCACTCGCCGTCAAGGAGTGTCGCTCCGGTATACTTACATACATACTAGCGCCGCGCCCCGCCACCACTCGCACCACTACGTCGCTCCACTCGCCGTCAAGGAGTGTCGCTCCGGTATACTTACATACATACTAGCGCCGCGCCCCGCCACCACTCGCACCACTACGTCGCTCCACTCGCCGTCAAGGAGTGTCGCTCCGGTATACTTACATACATACTAGCGCCGCGCCCCGCCACCACTCGCACCACTACGTCGCTCCACTCGCCGTCAAGGAGTGTCGCTCCGGTATACTTACATACATACTAGCGCCGCGCCCCGCCACCACTCGCACCACTACGTCGCTCCACTCGCCGTCAAGGAGTGTCGCTCCGGTATACTTACATACATACTAGCGCCGCGCCCCGCCACCACTCGCACCACTACGTCGCTCCACTCGCCGTCAAGGAGTGTCGCTCCGGTATACTTACATACATACTAGCGCCGCGCCCCGCCACCACTCGCACCACTACGTCGCTCCACTCGCCGTCAAGGAGTGTCGCTCCGGTATACTTACATACATACTAGCGCCGCGCCCCGCCACCACTCGCACCACTACGTCGCTCCACTCGCCGTCAAGGAGTGTCGCTCCGGTATACTTACATACATACTAGCGCCGCGCCCCGCCACCACTCGCACCACTACGTCGCTCCACTCGCAGTCAAGGAGTGTCGCTCCGGTATACTTACATACATACTAGCGCCGCGCCCCGCCACCACTCGCACCACTACGTCGCTCCACTCGCCGTCAAGGAGTGTCGCTCCGGTATACTTACATACATACTAGCGCCGCGCCCCGCCACCACTCGCACCACTACGTCGCTCCACTCGCCGTCAAGGAGTGTCGCTCCGGTATACTTACATACATACTAGCGCCGCGCCCCGCCACCACTCGCACCACTACGTCGCTCCACTCGCCGTCAAGGAGTGTCGCTCCGGTATACTTACATACATACTAGCGCCGCGCCCCGCCACCACTCGCACCACTACGTCGCTCCACTCGCCGTCAAGGAGTGTCGCTCCGGTATACTTACATACATACTAGCGCCGCGCCCCGCCACCACTCGCACCACTACGTCGCTCCACTCGCCGTCAAGGAGTGTCGCTCCGGTATACTTACATACATACTAGCGCCGCGCCCCGCCACCACTCGCACCACTACGTCGCTCCACTCGCCGTCAAGGAGTGTCGCTCCTTACATTCGTAGATTTAAAAACGTGTGACGATCTGATAGTATCCGATGTTTATTTGAAGCTATTTAAACGTGATCATGGATTCCTAAAATCATTTAATTAAAAGACCCTACAACAAAAACTGCACTCAAACATAAACACAATAATACAATCTTTTTCTGTACCACTCTGTCTTTCCATAGCATAAAGATTATTTCACTAACCAATAAAATATTGTCCTTTCAGGTCAAAAAGTCCGGGCTCTTACCTTTAACCAGCGTTGGCGGGAGATAGCTGCGCTGACCCTGAACGGATACATCCACGTATTCAACGCGGAAACATTCCGCCAGACTCTGTCAAGAAAACTGCCGTCCTGCCAGGACCTCGTGTGTCTGGCTACACAGGTAACGAAATGATACCTTAGAAATTTAAAGTGTGGGAGAGCCATGCTTCGGCACGAATGGGTCGGCTCGACCGGAGTGATACCACGGCCTCACAGAAAACCGGCGTGAAATAACCACTGCGTTGTGTTTCGCCGTGTGAGTGAGGTTACCGGAGGCCCAATCCTTCCCCTTCCCCAATCCCTCCTCAATCCCTATATCTCCAAATCCCTAATCCCTGAAAGGTCGGCAACGCACTCGTAACTCCACCGTTGCGAGTGTCCATGGGCGGCGCTGATTGCTTACCATCAGGTAATCCGTCTGCTCGTTTGCCGACCTATTACATAAAAAAAAAAAAAAAATTATAAGATAAATTCAAATTCATTTAAGTACTTGCTAATATGGGTAGTTAATTTACGTTGTTAACAAAATATATAGATACGAAAAATATGTAGAACGAAAACATACGAAGTACGAAGTAACTAAGTATTAAATAATATCAATAAGTTTTATGTGATAGATTGGCAAATGAAAAAACCTGATGTTAAGAAATCGACATCGCCCAAGTACACTTGCAACACTAGCGGAGTTTTGGGGATTTATTTTGGTGATATAGGGATTAGGAAGGGATCGGTGGCAACAGGGGTGTCAAACTTTAAAAACTGTGGGAGAGCCATGCTTCAGCACGAATGAGCCGGCTCTACCGGAGTGATACCACAGCCTCACAGAAAACCGGCGTGAAACAACTACAGCGTTCTGTTTCGCCGTATGAGTGATATTACCGGAGGCCCAATCCTTCCCCAATCCCATAAACTCCAAATCCCTAATCCTCAAAAGGTCGGCAACTCATTTGTAACTCCTCCGTTGTAGCTATAGACACCCCTATAGGTGGTGCTGATGATTGCTTACCATCAGGTAATTCCTATCACATAAAACAGTTGCTACTGACGCCATTGTAATTATACCCAGTAATTCATAACCTTAAAGTTTTATTTTCCTACAAAAGTTTATTGTATTGTATAGGAGAGCGGTGTTTACGCGATAGGCTGTAAGTCGTACACGCTCCTGTTGGACTGCCGCACGCTGCAGTCTGTGAAGAAGATCACGTCGCGGTACAACGGCTGCGGGATCCGATCCGCGTCCTTCCGGGGGGACATGCTCACCATCGGGACCGGACTAGGTCACTATACTACTCTTTATTTTATTCGACAAAGATGTACAGAAATATTAAAAAAATGGACTTTTCAAAATTATTTTGCTGGCGTTGAATTTTGCTGTTTTTTTACGGCGCACTGCGCAAAAAAAAACGGCGCAATTTTCGTCTGATGGTGAACTTGTAGGAATTTTGTTAAGGATTTGGGTATTGTGGTTGAGAGTTGGATTGGTTGTAAATGTACCTTCTGTATCTGTGACCTTAATCACACGGCGATACAGTGTTATATTCCGATTTCCGAGAAAATGTTATCGGGCACCAAAATTCATAATCTTATATTTGACGTATTAACTTATCAAACAACTTGTGGCATACCAATAAGATGTAAAATTGTGTACACATAGAAAATAGACGATAAAAGTCTACTAATGAAGTCAGAAACCTACATAACGAAAATGAAGTTTCAATGAATGTACGCCTGTTGAGCTGTAGCCCTTATGAATGTAAGTACTGTGCATTCCGCAGGTTTGTTGATGTTCTACGACCTGCGCGCGGGCAAATATCTGGAGAGTAATATACATTCTACCAAAACTGTCACGCTCAAGGCTTCGAGGGGATATGTGGTAAGTTGGTCACTTTAAAAACCCAATTTAAAGTGTAACGAAGTAAAAGGTCTTAATTGTATATTCAGACATATTATGTCTCAATTTTCAATCCCATACATCGTGTTAGAGAAAACCCTGTAAAGATAGAAAAAGTTTTTCGATAAAGAAATAAATAAAATATTGAGTTAGCCAATTGTAAACAAAAGTGTGAATTAATTAGAAGAATTTTACGCTTTGGCCTTTTTTGACCCACTCGGTTTTCACCCACAAAAACGTCTACAGTGAACGAAAATTTTTCATCACATCAGCCCTTTTGGGCCCCATCTGTGGTCGTCTGTTGGCTCTGTAAGGAACCCAACATCTTGTAAAATTAAAAACATATTTAACTTAAGTCATATGGTTTTTTACGTGATAGGTCGGCGAACGAGCATATGGATTACCTGATAGTAAGCAATCAGCGCCGCCCAAGGACACCCGCAATAACAGAGGAGTTACGAGTGCGTTGCCGACCTTTTAAGTATTAGGGATTTTGAGATTTAGGGCCTTCGGTAACCTCACTCACACGGCGAAACAGCGCTGTGGTTGTTTCACGCCGGTTTTCTGTGAGGCCGTGGTATCACTCCGGTCGAGCCGACACATTTGTGCTGAAGCATGGCTCTCCTACACTTAGGTCCCAATTTGTTTAACCTTTAACAACATTCTTTAATATCATATCCATTGTTAACAGTTCCCCGACGAGGAAGCAGACGGCTTCAGCCAAGTGAAGCATGTCCCAGCAATATACACGCATTGCTACGACGACAGCGGAACCAGGATCTTCACTGCTGGGGGCCCACTACCAGCCCCGCTCATAGGAAACTACGCTGGACTCTGGCAATAACATCTACTAATATTGGCCATAGTGAGCATCATTTTGTCCACTCCTGGACAATTTTCTTTGGGAATGGCAATGTTATCTTGATCCTCTGTTGTCTCTTTTCTACTGTAGGGCAAAAGCATCCAAAATGAAGAAAAACATTCAAATATTTTTTATGATCATTTTATTCAATGTTGTTTATAAATTGTTTATATTAATACTTTTTAATTCATCCGTATTGGTTTATGTTGAGTGAATTTCACAAGGATGGTAACTGTACTGATTGGTGATAATGCGTTTTATTATTCAATCTTAAAGAATCGGTATTTCAAAATAATATTGTCACATTTGCTTATTTTACATGAAGCACTCTCCAAATTTTGGCTTGTATGAAAGTAGGAATTCTGTATTTAAGTGTGGAAACGTACATAAGGATTAGAAAATAATAAATTAATTGAATGATATTGACACATATTCTACATCGTGCAAACGAATGTTGCGCGAAGATTGACAAATAAAATTAATTTCAGCTCACTAAGCATGATCATCTCTCCAGCTCAGAGATTTTCCGACGTTTGGAAACTTAACTCTCTGTTTCCAAAAAAATATGGAAAAACATGTTTCATCTTGGGCTCTAGAGTATCTTATTGTTAATTTTCAGTGTCTGAATCAAGTCTAGAATAAACAATTCCAATTTTCTACTTTCATAACAGCGAAAGAAATTTTCAACCTTCTAAAATTCATACCAAATGAGTGAGTGAGACAACAATATCATGAAACCTACTAGTGTAAAAGAGAAAGAAACAGCCTTACCCACACTAAGGTCGGCTAGCAACTAGTTAAATAAATATAGAACATAGTATTTATAATAAAAATGGTTTCTAATTAGAAGTGTACGGACTTGTGTATTGATATAGCAATAATGAAGAAATTAAGAGTGCAAAATTTATTTACATAATATGTATTCATTCAGTGCAATACAGTTGATGGGATACATGGAGTATTTTGTTAGGGCAGATTTTATATGGCCTATGTTTAACTCGCTACCATGGTTAGAATCCGTCGAATGGGTCGACTTGACCGTGAAACAACTACAGCATTGTGTCTCGCCGTGTGAGTGAGGTTACCGGAGGCCCAATCTTTCCCCTCCCCCAATCCCAAAATCTCCAAATCCTGATCTCTGTTCTTAACAAATTACTCTGTGTATTAAAAGAAACATCGATTTATTCCGCGGCAATTTCGTCAATTACTTTTTTAATTTCGTGTTTCTAAAATTATTGGCTTAAGACGTGTGTAAATATGATCTAAAACAATGATTTGAAAATGTTGTCGCGGTTTATTTTTTTAAAGAAATTCAATGTTATGTTAAAATTTCTGATCTGGCGCATATTGTTTGTTACGAAGTAGTTGCCAATATTTTTTATAGGAAAGAAGGAAAGCAGTGTATTTTTATCTTTGTCACACAAAAATACTCACGTTGTCAAATTCTCCACATAAATTTGAAAGGATGAATGTTTTAGAAGGTATGCAGATGAGAAAATAATAATTGATTGTCTGAAACAATGAAACACTGAATTTATTTTTGCAAATAGGCCACAAAACGGCACTTTTACACGTCAAATTATATGTAAAAAACTAGATGAAGCTGGCATTTCCTATCTGACTACTCTGAGAAATGCCGAAACAAACTCAGAGGTCAATAGAGATAGCTATTGTAATAATAATAAAATTAAGGACTGCACAGTTAGCGCAGGGGCGGGCAAGTACTATGCACGGTGGTCGTGGGTTTGGATTCCCGCATAAAACAACTCTGTGTGATCCACAGATGTCTAGTTCAGTCTGGATGTGAACTATTAAGCTTGTAAACGCAATCACGGTACAAGAGACATTCCTACTGTATACTCCGACCATAAGACTCTTTTTAATACAATCTTTGATTTTTTGAATAGTATATATAATAGCGTTGAACATACTAAATTAATTCATCAAATCCCAAGCGAACGTCTGAAATGACCACTATTGAAAGGTTAAAAAAATCGTAATTTTGCCTCCACGTTCACGCTGCTCTTGAATAAGAGTCCCGTTGTGGCTTGAAACTAGTAGAGCGTTTCTCGTTTTTTTTAAAAAAACGTTCATTTCTTATCTGTATCACTTATTATGTATAGATTATTGATAGTATTTTCTTTCCTATAAAAAGTATTGGTTCGAAGATCGGTTTTGGCCCGAGAACGGTTTTGGTAATGCCTTGAATATCTCTTGATACCGACACTATCACTTCATGATTCAATGCCGCATGTACCTCAAGTAATTTGTAGACGAAACGGGACGCTTGCCTGTGTAAATATTATACTTTAGATCAATCTTTACCATTTTATAGACAAGTGCACATCAAAATACCCTATCCATTCAAATACAATACATTTTCTACTTAATGTCCAAATGATAAGGTTAAAAATCGCAAAGTTTAGGGCTTTTTGATATGCTCTTGTCTTATTGATTTGTTTCTCATAGATTTCATTTTACATTGTGATTTTAAATTAGTTGTTAAGGTCTGAACAGTAATGTTCAAATTAAATTGTCTTTATGTAATTTAACGTGCATAGGGGTTTATTTGTATGAATATAAGCCGTCCCGTTTTCACGGATACATAGTTGCAATTTGTTCATAGTAGTTATTTCTTAAATTGGACCCCAAATCCAAGTACCTATTCTGTGCCGGGGTTGCGGGATAAGCGCAATGAGGCACCGCGACCTCGGCCCAGAGCAGGAGAAGGAACAGGGGGGTTATAGTCAGTAAGAGTCTGACACTCCCTCCCGCCCGGCCCTGGGCGGGAGAAGTCATTGGATGATTTTCCCCTGACAAAAAAAAGTACCTATTCTGTGGGGCCATGAGATATAAATACTATGAAATAATTAGAATACTAATTTGATAGGTTTATAACGATATCCATAATATTAGTGTATAATAATTTGGACCGTGTGTCCGTGTGTTTTTACATGTAATTTCCTATTAATTCGTTTAAGTGGAAATTGTGACGAGTAAAAGACTTGAGTATGATGAATGATTTGGTTTTTTTTTCTTCTATTTTATACCTGTGTTGACTACCTATTGATGGCCGAATACAGAGGTATATCTGTATATGATAGTAGGAATGCAAGCTTGGCTTTTACAGGTGGCCTGGTGTCTTCAATGTTCTCTAAAAGTTTAAAAGTACTAACTACATCATCAATTTTGTTATTTTTATACTAGACGAAAGCAATCGAGCATAAATGATTGTTATTCATCAGCAGTACAAGCTTTAAAACTGCAATGATTTGTTGCTTTTATTTTCTTACCAAAATATAAATCTCCTCCGATTATCAAAAGGATCCAAGGAAAATCATCAAATGACTTCTTTCACCTAGGGTATGATGAGGGTCAGAATTATTGAATAAAATCACCCCCGTTTCCAGTACTGCTCCAGCACCAGGCCACGGTATCTTATTGCGATTCACAACCCTGACTAAAAAACCTACGGGCCAAAGTCTCAACCCTAAGCGACTCAAAAATTTGGGAAGTTACATTTGCGCCGCTTGGGGTTCTCTGCAGTGCCAGCAGCCGAACTATGATGAGAAGGCTTGGGTTCAAGGGTCGACACAAATTGCGTCCCAAGGTCCAAGGTCCCAAGGTTCGACGCTTAGACTAACAACACAGCTGACTCTCCAGCGATAATAAGCTTGACTGAGGAGTTCATTAATGCTAGAGTGTGCTATCCTACCGATTGAAGTACAAGCAAGTATCGGTCGGACATGCCTAGCTTAAAAAATGTAGTGACTCGTCGATCCACAAAGAAAATATTTTGCATAATATTGTACTAAAATTATTTGAATGTTACTATACTATAAGAATATTTTCTACCAATTTTAATCCGGTATAAATATTAGGTTATCCGTCTGCTCGTTTGCCGGCATATAACATTAAAAAAATATCTCTTAGGATATTATTAAGTAGATTATATAGGTATAGAGTAAAATAAGTAGGTCGGCTCGACCCATTCTCGCCGAAGCATGGTTCGACACCACGGCCTCACAGAAAACCGGGGTAAAACCACAGTAGGCTAAATAATAAAAAAAAAAAAATTCAAACAAATATATATAACTTACTTGCCTATATAACCTTAGTCTTAGTCAACAAAAATAAGTAACATAGCCGATAAGAGCTTCCTCTCTCCTATCCCACTTACTTTGCTGTGCCCGACAGGGTCCATATGAACTATTTATAAGTACTACCACCTAAGAATACATGTGGAAAGCAATAAAGTATTGAGTATTGAGTATTGAGTATTGAGTATAGGTAGTAATACCACCACACCATTGTGTTTCGCCGTGTGAGTGAGGTTACTGGAGGCCCAATCCGTCCCCTCCCCCAATCCCTAATTCCCATAAGGTCGACAACGCACTCGTAACTCCTCTGCTTTTCCAGGTGTCCATGCACGTCGCTGATTGCTTACCACCAGATAATCCATCTGCTTGTTTGCCGAACTATCACATAAAAAACAAAGAAGAAAGCAGACTCCCATATGTATGTATAATAGTAATGTACAAGTCTGCTGACTGTCAAGCTATTGTTAATATAAGTCGCCGTATTGTCATGTCACTGCAGTGAGCACTCTCCTAATCTTCATTGCACTCAAGTTAAGATTTAGCGGGAGGCTATAGTGCTAGTAAATTATAAAATGGTACATATTATTTTATAGTAACTTTGGGCTGCTAAAAGGACTTAAATGCCAAATTACCATCTACAATATCAAGGCGGGTTCAACTAAATAAAACGAAATAATTAATAATAAATGCATTCTTTATTTGTAATAAAAAGCATTGCAATTAAGGCCACACATACAAAATGCAAATAAATATTCGATTACTTTCAACATCCAAATACTGTAGTTTTAGAACAAAAATGTGCACAAATTCAAGCAGGTTTATCGTCAATCCTTGTGGTGGGAGGAACCCAGCCGACAGGCAGGCTGGTTCCTTCCGTACTAATGTAGCGATCCCACTGTGATCTGGAAAGAAAACAGTTATTATTGAAATTGAAAAAATCGTGTTACGAAAGTTAAGGAAAGGGAAAATATTAAAGAGCCACAATCACATTTGTTGTATCACTACAAAGTATAAAACGAATGGTTTCTCCGTCCCTATGTATGCTTAAATCTCTAAAACTATGCAACGGATTCTGATGCAGTTTTATTTTATAGATACAGTAATTGAATAGGGATGTTTATATGTAAGGGGCCATCCATAACATATGTCACATGTAAAGGGACTTGTGAGTTGATTTAGTTTTTAGTTGTTTTTATAGCAGCAACAGAAATATTTATCATCTATCAAAATTCCAAAGAGCTATCATTCATACAGTTCATGACACCTTAGTTGACGAACAGATAGTCAGACAGACAGCCAGACGGGAGTGTCTTTAAGAGTAGGTACAGTTCTCAAATGGCTTTACCTGACTGCAATAAACTTAGCGACGTCGCCCCCGAAGTCAGCTTGTGGCAGCTTCCCTCCAAAGAGTGCTGTCCTCCAGAGATTGAGGTTGGTGGCCACATTTTGTTCAGCCTCCGCCAACATAGAGTACTGCTTCTCCGAGTCCTCCTCCAACTGAGCGCGAAGCTCCACTTCTTCTTTATTGTAAAGCACCAGCTTACGTTCCCAGAGTGATTTTAGTTTTTCTGTAAATATCATTATCAAAATTAGGAAAGAAAAATGTACGAAATTCGGTCTTATCCAACTTTATAATGAGACCTACAGTCAGCATCGTGTCACAGATAAAATCTTGTTGAGAAAGCGCTCCAACGCACTATTTGCTAAGCGCGAAAAGATTTTAAAATTAGTGATGGGTAATGTTGCCGCCAATATTTGTTGGACTTTAGTCTCTCAACATAGGTATAATTAGGTATTTGGATCAGTTTTATTTATTTTCCTTTACTTTCTAAAATTTTTAAATAAATTTTAAATGTTTGGGCTTATTACACACATACATCTCTTGGACGTGGAAAGAATAATCTTGATCAATTCTCCGTCTTACAAAATTGTACTGCGAAAACATGGTAGACCAGAAATAGCGATTAATCAATTCTGATTTGCTCACCTATATGTGAAAGGAAGGCAGCCTCTTCATTGTCCGACACAGTCTCTCCTCTGCCAGCGGCTGTGTTCTGTCTCGCCTTGCGCAGCTTCACGAGAGCGTCCAGTTTAGTCAGACATTTCTTAGCATCACTCTTCTTGCGGAGTACTTCTTTCAAAACCATATCAGCTTGCAGTTTCTGTTCAGCTTCCTGAAATTAATGAAATAAACATTTCAGTAACATAGCAAAATAAAATTAAATATATAAGTATTAATGACGGCAAACTGGTTAACGGATTACCTGATGTTAAGGGATCAGTGCCGCCCAGGATCACTCGCAACAACGGAGGACTTATGTGTGCGTCGCCGACTTTTTGCGGATAAGGGATTTGGAGATTTTAGGATTAGGAGAGAGGAAGGATTGAGCCTCTGGTAACTACACCTATACAGCGAAACATAACGCTGTGGTTTGTTCACGCCGGTTTTCTGTGAGGCCGTGGTATCACTCCATTCATGCCGAAGCATGGCTCTCCCACACTTTAATATGTATATCTAGGTTTACTTATTCTAAAATAATAGTAGATTCTGTATTCTGAGAATCATTACAACTTATAAAAAATCATTTACCTGCTTAGCTTTATTGATGTCATCTTTGATTTTCTGCAAGTTCTCATCAATCTTCCGTGAGCGCTCTTTGAGTTCTTTCATTCTTTCTTCTTTCTCCCTCTTTCTTTCCATGTTAGCTTTTCTCAGACGCAATCTCTTGGCTGCCCTCTTCGCTAGAAGCTTCCGTAATAAGTCTATATATGGACCGTTTAGTACAGTCAGGGTTTTATTAATCCAGGCTTTGTTTTCTTCTACTTGCTCCATTGTTGATCTCCACTCATCATCAGATAATGTACTCATGTTCTCTGAGAGAGTTTTCTGTTTAGCTTTCAAGTCATTTACGGTGACAACCATTTTGCGTATCTCTTCTCGAACTTCAGATATAGACAGTGGTTTCACATTAATCTGTGTGAGCTCTCTGACTGGAATCCTTTTCTCGAAGGTTTTTAGAAATTCTTGATCTTGTTTCTCTCGCTTAGCAGCTGGAGTGCTGGCCGGTATGAAGTATGGGGGCGGTTGTGGCGGAGGTGGCACATAATTTGGTGGCAAACTTTGGAATGTAGAATTGTTACCGCAAAAATTATTATAAAAATTAGGATTATAAGACATGATTTTGGTTATTATAAAATAAGTAGAAAATTAAAGAATTGTTATTATAAAGCCCCTGACTCAGGGAGTTGGCTCTCAGCGTCCTTGAGTACTTGTTGAGCTGCTATATAATCCTCGTGTTCTTTGAGATCCTGCTCTGTTTCTAATGTATTCTTGAGGTCACTGTATGCCTTCACCAGTCTGTGAAACAAAATTAATTATTGAGTATAGTAATGAAGATATAAACATAAAAAAGGTAAAAGTTTGAGTTGAAATTGTAAAAGTATATTATTTAATCCCCCAGCAAACAAAAATGCAACCTTTCACCATCTATTGATAGTCATTTAACTTTCCCATCATGGTAATTCGGGACAAAATAGGTGCACTGATGCACTTCACAGACGGCCTTATTACAAAACAAGGTTTTACTTTAGTCTAGGACTAAACCATTGAGACAGTTTTTGTATTTCAAATTGAAGGTAGATGCCAATAAGATTCAAAATTCAAAACCCGACTCAATGGTTTAAACCTGGACTAAAGATAAATCTTGTTTTGTAATAAGGGAGTAAGGGTTTGATAACTTCGAGGGACGATCTCCGGCCACCGTAAGCACGGGCCTGCGGTCGGCGAGTAAGGGCAGCTCGCCGCCCAACCAGAACCAGGCCCGAGCGTGCGGCGCGTAGCGTTCCGCGCGCGCCTCAAAAAGCCATTCCACCACCACAGGCGGGGCCCTAAAGGGCTGATGTTCAGCCGGGGTTGCGGGGTAAGCGCAATGAGGTACCGCGACCTCGGCACAGAGCAGGAGAAGGAACAGGGGGGTTTTTAGTCAGTAAGAGTCTGACACTCCCTCCTGCCCGGCCCTGGGCGGGAGAAGTCATTTAATGATTTTCCCCTCACAAAAAAAAAAAAAGTGTTTGATAACTTAATGCAACTGCTCTGATGGCAGAAGTTGTGTGTTTTTTGATCACAGGATGACTTGAATGATAATGCTGACAAGAGAGTTAATGCCTTTAGCATTAACTTCACTTTTGTGTCTATACAAGTTTTTTTTTATAAATAATAGTTAAGTGTTTGTTTGAAGAGTTGGGAGTACTTGCCAGAGCTTTTAAATTGTAGGCGGCATCCAAGATATCATTGTAAAAATTGAAGTGGTAATGAAAGTATTAAGTAATAACAGATTTCTAAATTGGAATAGAGTATGACAGGAACATTCTTATGATATAAAATAAATTAAGAAGTTGTACATCAACAGTTAATTGTGACATACTGTCTGTTGAAGTGGAGGGCAGATCTGTGGATGAGTAAGATGGCATGACAGCAAGTATCTTAATCACATTCCAAGTGACCGTAAAATGACAGTCCATTCTTTTCATAAATTGCAATCATTATTTTCTTTTTTTGTTTTTATCAAGTTTTAAATAAAATATTATTCAATGGCAAACATATTGCCAATTTTACCGCCAACCACACATACCTCTACTGATGTGTGACAAAAAGGCTTTATTGCTAGCCCAAAAATTTAAATCGCAATCACAAGTTATAAATATGTATTTTTTGTTCTATATTTCATAGGCAATATATTTAAGGCATGTTTTTTTTCTTACTTGAATTTAATTTCCACCCCTTGTTTGCATTAACCAAGCAACAAATAACGAATACTGTTCCCAATGTTAAAAAAAAAACTTAATCAATATTCAAGGATTCGACATATGCGATCATGCGATCATATCTATACATGAATCGTCATGCCTCAATGACTAAGAACCCCAACAAAGAACAACTGTCGCGCCGCACCTAACCTCCTTGCACACCTGTGATTTTACATAAGGAGAACTATGAAATTACGCAAATATACCTTACAAAGTTAACAATTATGATGATTTCTAGGCATTAATACTAGTTTTAGTTACTCGCTTACCGTCTTTGACAATCTGGTACCATCATCAGCGACTCTTGAAGCACTTCTTCTTGCTTCCTAATGTTATGCTCGTCCTGACCCTCGTCTTTTAACTTCTGTATTCTATTCTTCTGTTGTTCCGCCTCCTTCTCGTACACAACTTTTTCCTTGGCAATGCGTTTCACAACGCCGGTCTTTATTTTTATTTGACGAATTCTGGGATCTGCCATTGTTACAAAAGTTCGCTATTGTTTTTTAACTTAGCTGTCAAACTCAAAATGATGTCATGACAGCTGCATAGACAATTATTTGTGTTTCTATACTTCATGGTTTGAAGTTGCATTCCAGCGATTGATAGTTATAATTTTAAGCATTATCAATTCTCTAACTACCCACACAAGAAATAGGACATGTACAAAAATACATCATCCAAATAGAAATATTATAAATTTCATGAAACAATGAACTGTTCAATAAGATTAAATGGATTCACATTCACATTAATTCACGCACAAACGTTGTGCGTGAATTATACATTATCCATTATATTAATATTATATATCATTGATTGTACATGTCGTATTTCATGTGTGGGTTTATTGTATCGGTAATGGTCTAATTGTTTTTTTAATTGATAGGTCGTCAAATGAGCCGTCAGATTATCTGATGATAACACTCGCATCACCAAAGGAGTTACGACTGCGTTGCCGACCTTTAGGGGATTAGGGTTTCGGAGATTTAGGATTTGGGTAGGGACGTAATGGGGGAGGGGAACGATTCGGCCTACGGTAACCTCACTCACACGACGAAACACCATGCTGTGATTGTGGTATCACTCCGGTCGAGCCGAAGGTTTTCCACACTTAGTGATAAAATTTAACAGTTAATATAGTGTAGGTATATGAGTCTTTTTTATTAAAACTGGTTTAGTAATTTCCGTTACTTTTAGTTTAACAGTTTGTATGAAACCCGTGTCACGTATACGCTCTTATTAAAACAAAATAATAAACAAGGTTATTCTTAGGTAAAAAATAATATTTGATAATCGTAAACTACTGATCTAACTTCGCAGACAATCACATACCTAATTAAGTTATTTGGTTAGTAATTGTATTTTTTTTCACAATTGTGTAGTTGTTTTTAGAGGGAAAAGTCATGCATTTTTTTTTCTCATCCAGGGTGATGTGAGAGTGAGTGTCAGAGTCTTACTAATGAAACCTGTAAGCTTTCAATTTCTTATGCAGCATTCCAGCAATAATGCTGCAGCAGAACTGGTGCTTGTTGCCAGGTTAAAGTCATACCATAAAAAGAGTAGTCTTGAAGTTACCTATCCTATAGTTTATTGCAAAGTTCCAAAGTTATTTCTATCATCGAGTCTGACTTTTACTTTCCTAAAAAGTGACCTAATTTCCAGAAGAATCCAGTTTGAATACGTTTTTAAAAATAAATCAAGAAATAAAAATCTTTTAAAAATAATACTTGGCATTACATAAATATTACAAACAAGCTACTTGAGAGACAATTTTGATAACGAGGTGTATCTTATCATATCGTAGCGAGATCTTATGTGAAGAGACTTGCGTGCCTGGCTACAAGACTTGCACGTTCTAGAGAGCATGAAATCTTACTATCAGTCTGGTTATATACAGGTTGGGGATAAAATTAAAGATAGAAGAATAATATTATTTCGGAAACGATGGGGCACGCCGACCCATAAGCAACTTATTCACTCGGGTCTTAAAGATACCTTTGACGGAGTCTCCTTCAGGGAAAACAAACCCCGTCAAAGAATTCTACTCCTAAACGGTTCTGATTACAAAACTGGAGGCGAACCGCTTTGTGCATGTAGCGGGATACTCCAGTTATGTAGAAAAATCTTAGAGTTCGCAGTTAAGAATATTTTGATTATTAACACAGTATTCGATATTAAGATTCATCTTTTCTTTTCTAGAATGACAATACTAGGAGCAGGAAGAACTACAAGTATTAAAACATAAAACATAAAAATACATTTATCCTGAACATACTTATTTACAACTGGAACCGTGTGGATCCCAGATATTGTTTCATCTGTCAGGGTCACTGCAGGCCACGAGTTGGAATGGCATGATCTTTAATCAGAAAGAGTCGGACACTCATAGGATGGGAGAAAATATTTCCCCTTTCAAGATTCATCCCCCCTTACAAAAAGAAATACTCTTTACGAATAGCCAAGGAAAATAAAGGTTCAAAAATACTTTAAAGACTTTATTGACGGTAGCAGATCTCAAACACCCTTTAAGTAAACGGTCCGACAAAAACTACAGGGGATTTGACAAAACTCGCTATCTGACATAAAATTCTTTGTATCCGTTGAGATATGATTAGCACAACGCCATGAGATGAGATATTAAAATAGCGATTGGAGAAATAAATATATCGTACTGTGTCGATTTACCTTCAGTACCACGACATACGATGAAGGCGATTCTCCTATTGGCAGGTAGGATATTTGTTGCTAAGCTTAGAATTTTCAAGGTCACACCACTTCATTGCCAACTTGTGTTGTAAATCCAAAGTCAAAAATCGTTTTTTCCAACAAACCATTTAGAGGTGCTTTTGGTGCTTTTATGCTTTTTTTGTCAGTGAAGCACCGTGCTTGTTCCCATGTGTAAATTTGAATAGAGAAAGAACGACCAAGAAACTAAACCTTTGACCTTGACTTTATAATAGACAACATCCTTTGTTTTATTAAAAGAACTTAACTGCCTTTTAGTATAACAAGTTATTTAATCCAAAAAGAAGTTTTCTCATTTTTGCGGTTTCCTACTAAGTAAGGTGATGAAGAAAGCTGACGATGGCAAAAATAATAATCTCCTGACCCTAACAGTTCAGGACTTAGATGTGTTATGCATTGTACATATAAATATTACCTATGTCTTTTATTCCTATGAATAAAAGACATTGGTAATATTAGGACATAGATTTAGGTTAATTGCTAGTGGATCTATATCCACTAGCAATTAACCTTATAGAATTTCAATCAAAAGACTTCTCACATTTTTCCTGTTTGATTTTAAAAGACTTTAATAGTTCTTCAACCTTTATAAAAATTTCGGACACAAAATTCAAGCGCCTTCTCTTCTAAAATTAAAAATTTATTCTCCTAATGCGAGACTATTTGCAATGCCCCATCTAATGTTTACTGCAATTAAATTGATTAAACCAAAAAAAAAATTTTTGTATTGTTTCATGGCTACAGGAGTGACCCTGGCACTATGTGCCGTCCCTCCGGTGGACCAGCGCCGGCCTCACGTGCACATGAATGATGATGGCAGCTACTTCCTGACCAATGATGGACGTAAGTAAAACCGTATTATCATACTGTAGGGAAAGACGGGAAAATATTGATTAACACGTTCGTGAAAAGTGCTACACAATATTTTTATTTACATTGCCCATGGGCGTCCAGAAATTCGCTATACCAGCAACGATTTTTGTAAATAATGTAGTAACGGTACAAAAGTCGTAATTATATGTACGTATAGTCAGAGTACAACATGCCATCTTTATGATAGTACGAAAAATTGCTCGTTGTATGGCGTATTGATTTTATGAATGTTAATACAGATACGTCTACAGGTTTATTTTCGTATCACTTTAAGCTATCTAGACGCCTGTAGTCGTTACTGTCAACGTAAGTTTTAAAATAGTTCAGGACGGGTAAATAAATAGACGCTAAAGCGGTAAAATCTAAACTTGAGATCCATTTTGAGAGACTGGGGACCTAAATCGAAGGGAGCAGGAATTAAGGAATCTTGAAGTCACTAGAAGCGGTCTAAGTTCACCAGTGGACGTTTTTAGATGATTCGATTATGAAGATGATGATATTTAGGTAGGTAAGTAGAAGAGAGCTGTGTAAGTGTTTCCTTCAGATAATACGAATTATTTAGTTACTTGTTGCGAAGCGGTTAGTTCACGAAATACACGAATATTTTGAAAGGTGTGGTGGTGCCACTCTTACCGGCTCTCATAGCACTTCTTGATTACGTACATGGATAGAATAGAAAAAGTTTTATTGTTATTATTATTTTCTAGCTTCTGGGCCCCACTATGTCGGTCACATCGGTCGTGGTGCTGTGCAAGGCAAAGACAATGGCGTGAAGTTTGACTTGCAAGCTTCTGGAGAGACCTGGAGGGGCGGCCTTAAGATCAGCATCACCTGGACAGGCCCAGCTGATGTTGTGTTCCAGGACTGTATCGATTTTGGTAAGTAGAAAATGTAGCATTATAGCTTTCAGATAGTGGTCGGTATTCTTGACGATTTGCGGAAAATTTATCGAAAACATTTCATCAAATTACAATTGATCGAACACATTTTATCGAAAAAACAAGTCGCCGAACAACAAAACGCCAAACGACAATTCCTCGAAAACAATTCGTCGAATGACAATTCGTCGAACACATTTTATCGAATAATCAATTGATCAAATAATAAATGTTCGAATAATATTTGATCGAATAACAATTGATCGAAATTACAAATAGTCGTGTTCGTTTAAAATACAATTTTTAAACTGTGCCAATTTGCTGGGCCAAAATATGTAATATTTTCGTTAATGAAGTACCTCATTTATTATAGATAATGTTTTATGGTATTTCTTTAAGTCTCTTGATACATTTGAGAAAATAATTCTTGTGAAACATTTTTATTCGAGCTATTCCTTGAGAAAGGTAGCTATCCTATCTAAACATACTTATGTTATCTTTACGCTACTACACTTGTGGTGCTTATAAGAACAAAACAGATATTTGAACAGACACAAAAATGTATATCTAAAAGTACTGTAATGGTTACTTTGTAGAAATTTATCAATTTCGTTGATAAAAACCGCTTGAACGCCAAGCACCTGTCACTCTACTTGTTATCAAATAGATAGATTTTTACAACATGAGTCGTTAGTTTTTCATGTAAAAACAATGCGGTTTTATAACTCACTTGATATTTACAACTAACTACTAGACTTAGACTGATAATCGAACTATTATTTGAGCTTGAAATTGAAACACATTTTTTTTATTGTCGTTTATTTCACTCTGTAAAAAAGCCAATTATACGAAGACACAATGGGTGCTTGTGCCTATGTCGCATACTGGGATCTTTTGCTTACAAAATGTATATGGAAAGAAATATCAGCACTGATTGGGCAGTCTCGGGATGAAGATTATTATTTAGCAAACATGTTAGCAATAAGTCAGATCTAGTTTACCACCATAATAATTCATCACTTACCGTCCTACTCGTGCAGGCAACAGCCAATGGTTCGCTGGTCCCGAACAAAAGCAGCAGTACTGGCCCATCCAGAATTCGTTCCTCAAGAAATACTCCGCAGTTTCTAAAGAGGAAGACAACGCGGCCGTGGGCGAGCGCTACTGGCTCAACTCTGACGGCATGTACATCTACGTCGCCCCTGAAGTCCCACTTTTCATCGACTACCACAACGAGCTGGAGAACCATCTCTGTCTGATCGCCGAAGTTGCTGACCCCTACTCCACTAGGAGAACCGAAAATGTCCTCAAATACGACCTCTGGTTCTTCGAAAACCCTAAGATTGCTCACCAACACGCTGTTGACAATTACCTCGGCAAACCCTCTGGTATACCTGACTACAGGATGATCCAGTACCCCATCTGGTCTACTTGGGCTCGTTACTCCAGAGAAATCGATCAGGAAAATCTCTGGGCCTTCGCTAACGAGATCAAGGACAGTGGATTCCCTAACGCTCAGTTTGAGATCGACGACCTTTGGGAAGTGTGCTATGGTTCCCTGTTCGTAGACGTCAGGAAACTTCCTGACCTCAAGCAGTTGGTGCAGGACATCAAGGGTCTTGGCTTCAGGGTCGCTATTTGGGTGCACCCCTTCATCAACAAGGATTGTGAGCCATGGTACTCTGAGGCTCTAGGAAAGGGGTAAGTGAAATATTTCATTGTCCATCTGTGATTCAAATTTATATTTCAGTCTCGGTATTGTCCAAAATGCAAAAAAAATGTACTCGTATTACTTTTCAAACTTTAATTCATTTGCATGCATTCAATTAAATTGTGGTATTGTCTAACTAATAACCAACATAATTGTACCAGCTACCTAGTCCTAAATGAGGAGGGCAGTCCGGACACGACCTGGTGGAACAACAACGGCTCCATCCCTGGCTACATCGACTTCACCAACCCCGAAGCCGCTGACTGGTTCTCCGATAGAGTCCGCAACGTGATTGAGACCTACGACATCGATACTGTCAAGTTTGACGCTGGAGAGTCCAGCTGGTCTCCTCAGGTGGGTACAAATAGCAAGAGAATTAAGTTATTGCCTAAGTTTTTACGGTCCTTCAATACGGAACAAACGAAGTTCTCGAATTATCAAGGCTAATTAATAATCTTCTGAATCACTTGGACAACATAGATCTTCAAATGGTGCATATATATTTCATTTCACATTTAAATTTCAAGTAATTATAATGTACTTGAGTCTTTATAAATATTAATAATATTATAAAATATAAAAGTAAGTCCCGTGGTAGCCTGGAAGCTAATGCACCCACTTCTCAAGCATGACAGTGCAAGTTCAAAACCTGGCAGGTACATAACGTGTTACATTTACGAGTTATATGTCCATTCTGAGATTATTTAGACCGTCTTCGGTAAACATCGGGATTAAGCTTTCGTGCTACATGACATACGATAAATAACATTCTCTTTCTTGGATGAGCTTTCCACCTACCTCCTCGGCCACGGATTAATACTCATTTGTTCTTCGTACCAGCAAAGGCCTTTGCTCAGCAGTGGGAAAACTACAAAGTGAAATTGTCTAAAGGTTTCTGACTTTTATGTTCGCAGATCCCAGTACAGAACGGTCTGGACATCAACCTGCATCCTGGCCACATCGTGCAGGCCTACGTGCGCACAGTCGCCAAGTTCGGACCCGCCATTGAAGTCAGATCTGGAATGAGGTGAGAAAAACAGCCAATAAGATCCATAATTATAACTCATGTCAAAGCATATTTGATTTTTATTTGGCATTCCTTTAATAGCATTAATAAATTTTTTCACATGGTAATTAACTTGATTGGTAAATTATCTTCTCTGAATATAATATTTTTTTTATGTGAATAGACGGCAAACAAGGATTACCTGATGGTAAGCAATCAGCGCCGCCCGTGGGGTCTACCGAGGAGTTATGAGTGCATTGTCGATCTTTTGGGGTTGAGGGATCACACGGTGAAGCACAATGCTATGTTTCACGTCGGTTTTCTGTGAGGTCGTGGTCTCACTCCGGTCGAGCCGACCAATTCGTGAAAATTTCAGAGATAAAGCAATATTCAAACTCATTAATAAACCCGTTTAATAAACCAGATCAAAATATTGATATAATAATTCCTATTCTTCCAGGACCCAAGACCTACCAGTCTTCATCCGTATGGTAGACAAGGACACCCTATGGGACTACAACAACGGTCTGGAGACTTTGATCACCACTCTCCTCTCCATGAACCTGAACGGCTACACCCTGGTGTTGCCTGATATGATCGGAGGCAACGGCTACAATGAGAAGCCCAGCAAGGAACTGTTCATCAGGTGGCTGCAGGCTAACGTGTTCATGCCAACTCTTCAGTACTCTTTCGTACCTTGGGATCATGATGACGAGGTAAGCTTGGATGAAGAAGTACCGACATAACTAAAACTAGAACCTTTTTGTTTTTCTGGCTAAACGTAAGGCATGTAAGAATTGCTTAAGTAACAAAACAGCTTAGGGCCTACCATGATTTGTTAAAGCGTCAATCTTCTGGACGAGAAAGAGAGATGGGGCTATAAAAGGCGTATAGCTCCATCCCACTTTCTTGCCCAGAGGACTCACGCTTTAGCACGTCATGATAGGCCCTCTTATCCAATTATAGAACTGCTGAGGGTTCCATCTCCAGAAAGTGTCGTACATCGAAATCAAAAATGGGCATCACAAAAATGCGCACTTTGGGGAAAGAACTTTAAGAAAACAACTCAAGCAATATCTGACCAAGTATCATTTTTCTCGTCCCCAGGCTGTAGAAATCTCCCGCCGCTACACTGACCTCCACGCGGAGTTCGCCGACGTGATCGTCGCTGCCATGGAGAAGTCAGTCAGTGACGGCACTCCCGTCAACCCTCCCATCTGGTGGCTTGACCCTCATGATGAAGAAGCCTTCCCCATTGCTGACGGTAATACTATCAATTCGTTGATACGATTGCAGCAGAATGAACAATTCAAATATAATAAATAGTAGTTTTGTAAAAACTTCCCCCCCTTTGATTTTCTCCTGTATTCTAGATGATTTTGATAATTATTTTCTCTGCGAGAGTGATAAGCACTCTTGATATTTATAACAATTTATCGACAGGGGACATTATTTATAAGACAGGGAGCTATCATGGTGGTATGACATATATTGGTCAGTCTTTGTGGTTCTTTGTGGTGAGAAATTGATATAACACAAACTATTAATAAAATTATTCTTCTTTTTTGTGGGATATGTCGGCAAACAAGCAGACAGATGACCTAATGGTAAGCAATCAGCGCCGCCCATGGACACCCAAGGAGCAACTTGGCATCACCAAATGAGTTACGAGCCTTTTGGGAATAAGAGTTTCCGATACTTAAGCATTGGGAAGAGGTGGGGATCTCTTCCCCATTGGGGGTAGGGATCGGGTCTTCGGTAACCTTATTCACACGGCAAAGCACAACCCTGTGGTTGTTTCACGCCGCGTTTTTTGTGGTATCACTTGCCGACCCATTCGTGCCGAAGCTTGGCTCTTCCACACTAAATTCTCCCATTTTTTTTTCAGAATTCTTGCTTGGTGAGCAGATCTTAGCAGCTCCGGTGGTGAAGCAAGGAGCGGTGTCCCGTGACATCTACCTGCCTCGTGGTACCTGGCGCGATGGCAACACTGGCGATGTCATCCACGGCCCAATCTGGCTGAGGGACTACCCAGCTCCATTGGATACCCTCCCATACTTCATCTTACTCAACAACTAATAGAAGAACAAACTCGAATGTTTTATTATTATTAAATTTAATTGTGTTAAATTATTTTGTGTAAATTTTAATAATATTTATTTTAATGAGTACCTATTTTTTGTTTTATTCGTTTCATTTTTCGCAAGACCGAATGAAAGAACGATGAAAGAGTGAATGTGTCTAGATTCATTTATTTCATTGAAGACTTAGATTGGATTCTTCGCAGCCTAAGTATTTCATAAAATATCTTCTATCACTAACAATTTGAAAAACTCACGTGAAAATTATTCACGAATAATTCAGTTTTCAATAAAAATGTAGTCTATGAAACCTGTTTAAAATTGTTAAAGTTCATACTAGTCTAGGTTTTAACATGGCTTCTGCATAGGCATGGGTAGGGACAGTACATGACGACACACTGAGAAAGTGAGAAGTGGTTCTTATAGCTTCACTTAATAGATACCTACACAAAGTCACTTAGCGAACGTTAAATCGGTACATAATTAACTAAATGGCATTAGATGTGGCATACCTTTTTATCTAAAAATCATATGTATATGCATGTCTGAGGCAGTGACAAATCGCAGATTTACTATTTTAGACTTCTTTATTAAATTGTATTTACACAGAGACCTCTTATTCGTCCTACAGTTATCGCCATCTTCTTTTTCCCCCTCCATCCTTCCTCTCTCTCACACACATACGTCGTCTCGCTCATGTCTCACTCATGCTTAATATTCTACTACTAAGTTTACATTTTAGAATCCTACATGTATTATATGTAAAATTATAATGTTTGTATTTTATACGACCTTTTTAATATAAAAAGACATATTTACCAAGTTTATTTACCTTAGTTAACCGCCTAAATATATAAACCATAGTTTCTTGTCTAAACTGGACTCGATATCACGACGTACATTTTTCTTAGTTAATTCAATTGAGTCGTTATTTCAATAAATTTACTACGTCACACGATATTAAAAATAAAGTAAAGAAAAAACTGCAACAATAAAATCTTTTTTGAATTTGCAAGGTGAAGTGGCAGTGTGCTGCCATAGAGGATATATGGTCCTTGTGTGCTGCGAACTTACGAACTAGGATTGTACTCAAGTTTTGAAGACGGATTCTAAAAGAAACTGACCTCCCGGTAGATGGACTGAAGCCATCATCAGAGTCAAGGGGAACCATTGGCTGCAACGTCCGTTAAATGTGGGAGAGCCAAGCTTCGGCACGAATTGGTCGGCTCGACCGGAGTGATACCACGACCTAACAGAATACCGGCGTGAAACAACTACAACGTTGTGTTTCGCCATGTGAGTGAGGTTACCGAAGGCCCAATCCCGCCCCTTCCCCTATCCCTTCCCGATCCTTATATCCGCAACCCCTATTCCCAAAAGGCCGGCAACGTACTCGTAACTTCTTTGGTGTTGCTGGTGTCCATGGGCGGCGCCGATTGCTTACCATCAGGTAATCCGTCCGCTCGTATGCTAACTTATATCATAAAAAAAAATGCAAACGCCGATTTGAATTATTACGTAAAAATAGGAGTGTCGCCTCTATTACCCCAGTAATTTCTTCTAACTAGACCATGATAATCTTGGTTTTAATATCAATATTATCTTGGTTTTTATGACTAGTAGCCAGTTATGCTCAGTTATGTATACATAAATAGAAGCGATAGCTATAGCCTTTTCAGATAGATAGATACAGAAAGCCTTAGAATAATCATTCTATTAAAACGTGATTTATTTAAGCATTTTAAAGAAGCTTGTATTTATTATTATTTCAAAAATGGACAAACAGAAGTGCCTTTCGTAATCAAAGATCGAATCGGACTACAGCAATCTCTGAACAAAATGTCTACTCATGTAATACCTCCGAACTCGGAACAATATAGAGAAGAAAAATCCCTTATCTTTACTCAGTAGATATTTGACGTTGTTATTGATAAACTGACACATCAGACAGACTACTTGAAGAAACGATATCTATAGTTGATAAAAAACGCAAAAAAAGGAAATAATCTTGAATGAAACAACAAATATGTCAATAACAATGAATAACTAATCGAAAACAACCATAAGACCTATCGAGAGATTGGCGGCGGCGACCTCTAGCGCCCAGCCTTAGTGAAGGCCATGGTACGGAGCGAGAGAAACTGGGAAGCAGTCTACTTTTTCTGCGAAGTATTTATGCTTGCAATAAAGAAGGCTAAGTATTCTCCTCACGTCCCCAGCCACCGTAGGAGATATTCCAGGCATCAGGGATCGTGCGACGTCCGTAATCTGCTAACGACAAGCAAGGGAAGCTCAAAGAGCCAATAGACCACCAGAGATGGAGCCCAATAGGGCTTACGTTCAGCCAGGGTTCCGGACGCAAGCGGAACAATGTGCCGCGGCCTATAATTAGGAGAAGGATAAGAAACTAGGTTGTTTTAGTCAGTACGAGTCTTACACTCTCTCGCCCTACCCAGGACATGAGAAATCAGCGTGTACTTAAAAATAGCACAGTGCGTATATTTATTTATTTGTCTCCATCATCGACCTTCTTCAATCAAGGTTAGTTTCGATACTAAATCTTAAACTAGATTGAACGGATAACAATAATCATCAGTAATAGAGCGAATGTCTTCCAATCTGTGTTCACCAACAATCGATACAGGTTACCATCATTTTGATACTAAGCAAAAATTCAAATGGGTTATGTAATAATCGAACGATCTCATAAAATTTGAAATGAAAAAAGAAGAAATCTTTATTTGTGATACATAGGTAGGTTTTATTTATTGTGATCGGATCGGCAGATAACCTGATGGTAAGTAATCGATAATTTCTGATTTAGATTATAGATTTCGCCAGATTGACCAACAAGGTATAATATGAAGCAGATCTAATAGCTTGCAGTACCTAACCAAAACAACTTCTGTTACCATGAGTCACAAAAGTCAAATTCGAGAATTATCTTAAAAATGATTTAAGCTCAAGAGCAAGCGATAGTGTTGTAAGATGATAGAGATATCAAGATATGTATCGATAAAGATAATGTCAAGAAAACCGCAGTCGACACTCATAGGTGGGACGTGATGGCGGCTCTTAGGGCGTTTTTATGTAAGTCTCAATATTCACCTTTTCATCTCATATCTTTGAGAAGTCAGAAGAATCATTTTCATATCTGCACCACAAAGTCTAAGATTCAACTATCATGTGACCGAAAAAATCAACTTACTGTGCAGACTGTTTGTTCAAATATGGAACTGCAAAAACATAAATTAGATAAGATATTTAAGGTCGAAAATGCTGCAGCAGGACGAATTTGAAGCCACCTTCATCGACAAAGTATTTACATTTCGATATTTCTACTAATTAATATCAAAATAGTTTCAAGATACTCTCAGAACTCTTTAAAAACCCTTTTCAGAAATCTGAACAAAAACTCATTTCTTTTTCCAGTCTTTTTAACGTTAGGTGCGCGTGCGCACACAGCGGCAATAACTGAGGCGCCATCTGTACGCGCTGATGACGTCACACTCACTTTGGAGCCGATCCTCACTGGAGGATTCCACCTTGTTCTGACTAATGGTGAGTTCAGACTGAAGTCCAAACTTTGAATTTTTATTCGATATTAGAAATCTCCGAAATCGAAAATATTATCTTGAATTCCTAATCTTATGGACTACTGTCGCACTACCGAATATCAAAATAATAAAGATTTACTAATTAACATCTCATTGTATATGTATAGTTGTGCCAGCAAGAGCAACAACAAAATAAATCAATCCAATATCACACCATCTCGACAAACAAACATACAGACATCTTCCAAGGTCGGATAAAGATGGCTGCAAAATATATTCTAATTTAAGCAAATTACAAGATTGATAAGACACGGCGCTAAATAGAATTTATTGCCTTGTCTGGGCACTAATGATGTCAAGTAATGGCACATTGTCTTTGATAATCATGATGGTAGATCAAGGACTCTTATTCCTTTGAAGTCAAGACTTAAAGAACGAAAAGATACTAGATACTATACCTAACATTAAACACCTGGGCCAGCGAATTACTGCAGCAAATTGAGAAAGACTAATTACTACTGCCGATGAAACAGAGGACAATCCTGCCAATCATAAAGTTAATCATCATCAGCCGGGAAAGTTCCACTGCTGGACAAAGACCTAGCGGGAGGTCTGCCCACACAACTTTTTCCAGTCCTTGGTCGCCACTCTAGCACTTTTCGGGCCCATCGGCCGTCCGTCCTTCGAGTGACATGGCCTCATCATAAAGTTACGGTCCCCCAATGAAGACATAAATCTAAGTTCCATCGAACATTTTAAGATTAATTTTATTAGTGTTATAAATATATTTTTCAGAAAACCAGCGGGAGGTGTTCGGTCAGATCGGGCGTACGTTAGTAGCTCCATTCACAGTGACTGACGTAGACGGTGGACTACTGGTGAGGATTGGCAATGTGAACTTGACTATCAACACCCTGTACGAGGCAGCTACCCAGGCTAGGGGCATCAAGTTCAGCTGGGAAGCCGACCAATACACAAGGCTAGAGGACTGCATCGATTTCGGTAAGCTCAATAATCTTATCTTCCAATACTTGTACCTCTTATGATCAGTTGTTAATACCGACAGATTGATTGATTTTTTTTTCTAAAGACTTGAATTTGAGTTATCATAGAAGTTATTTGACACTTTTAAAAAATGGTCATAGAAAAACCCATTATTTTTATCAGTTAACATCGACAACGTTTGATTTCCTACTGTTTGCACTTAAAAAACAAAATAAAAAAGACGGGTACCATAAAAACTTCCTTTTGTTCAAGGCACAAAACACTGGTACGCGGGCCCCATGCAAGTGGACCAGCTCTACCCAGTCGAAACAGCGACACAAGTTTACAGGCCAAGCTACATTCAAGAAACTGACAATGGTGCAATCATGGAGAGGTACTGGCTCAACTCCGTGGGAGAGTACATCATAGTCCACGACAAAGTACCACTCTTCGTGGACTACAAGAATATTTTGAACAACCATCTATGCTTCGGAGCTCAACTAGCTGGACCATACTCTACAAACAGACCACGTACCATATTGGCTTACGATATGTGGTTCTTGTCAGACG